ATCTCTGTGAGTTCAAGAGAAGACTGAGGGCTACAAAAGTAAGCACGAGGCCAGCCCGAACTGCATAGGAAGACCCTGGCTCAAAAAAAAAAAAAAAGAGAAGGATGAAGGACCCTGAGTTCAGTCCTCAGTCCTTCAGAAAAAGAAAAAAAAAAAAAAAAAAAAAATGGAATTCTTGACTCCCTGACTCACGAAGTGCATTTAGATAATACTTTCTCAAACATATTTTAAAAGTATCAAGAACTAAGATGAATTGATGAGTAGATAGATACATGATAAAAACAAGTTTATGATAGATGGTTAATGATAGACCTAGGTTAGACAGTGGGTTATAAATTCTTTAAATGTGGGCTATATGTAAAAGTGTTCACAGTAAAATGTTGGAGTGATTAAAATTACATTCTTATTATAAAGCAGGATTGACACACCTGTAAAAACTAATAAAATGCACTATCTCCCATGTATCTATGATGGTCCTCTGAAGCTTCCTATAAGTCTTCTGAGCCTTGTAAAGAATAAAACTCCAAGGGCTAGCCAGATAGCCCAGGGGACTAAAGTGCCGACTTAGGCAGGCGTAGGGACTGGGTTCTGTCCCCAACGTGCTGTGCAGACAGCGATTGAGACAGAACATGGTGGCACGTGCCTGTAATCCTAGCACTTGGGAGGCTGAAAACAGGATCACTAAGAGACCAATCTGTGTAGTGAGACCCTGCAGACCCTGTACTAAATACATAAAAAAAAAAAAAAATAACACTCCATATTTCACTGAAAGTGGTAAGGCATCAAAGACAGCCTCTAGCTTAGGCAGAATGCAGGGGCCAGGGTTCAGTATACCTCCCACCCTCGGGGCGCACTGAGACAGAGATTGAGACAGCATGGTCCTGAGTGTGCCTATAATCCCAGTGTTTGGGAGGGTGAAAACAGGAGAATCACTATGAGGCATATCTCCATAGTGAGACCCTGTAGACCTCGTATTGAATACATAAAAAGAAAAGACAAAAAAAGGCAGTCTCTCTCTCCCCCCCCCCCCCCCCCGGAACCGGGGATTGAACTCAGGCCCTTGTGTTTGCCAGGCAAGCGCTTATTCCACTGAGCCATCTCCCCAGCACCAACAGCCTCTTGTAAAGGGGACTTCTCATTGCTTAAGAGACTCTTAATTAGGCTTCTTTTACTGCTAATTTTTAGTACCTTTGTAACTGTTACATATATCAAAAAATAATCTCCTGTGGTTCCTGACATTTGTAGGCTGCAAATGAGTATACTTTTCATATAAGCTGTACAGGGTGTTTTTGCTTTAAATGAAACCACATTTCACTGTGGAACAGTTCTACCTCAGAATGGTTGCTTGAAATTAATCTCTTACTAAACTGAATGTCATATCAGGTTTTTTTTTTTCTTTTTTATATTAGAAATACTGCACTACATTTTAGGTCATAAGTTGGAAATCTTTAGATTTCTAGTCACAGATTCTAAAACAAATACATATGTGCCTTTTGAAAATACAAAGAAACCTTTAATTTATAGAATACTGCTGGTTGAAGGCTGCCACATTGAATTTTTTTTTATCATTGTTTGTACTTAGGGTGCTTGCTCTTGGGCAGCATGGTTTTTATTTGTCCTGCTATAAATCAATAGCCTGTATTGTCATGGCATTTCATATTGGTAACTCTCTTAGAAGAGTGAAAAATGATTTGATCAAGCTCAGTCTTAATGCCTCATTCCTGGAGAACATTATCTCCCTTTTCTCTACATTGAAATTCCTTCGTGTGTGTGTGTGTGTGTGTGTGTGTGTGTTACTGTGGATTGAACTCAAGGCTTTGTGGATGCTAGGCAAGCACTGTAACACTAAGGTAACGTTTCCAGCCCCTATCATTGCATTTAATATTTTGAAATATCTTTAAGAACTTAAGGGTGGGGTGTGGTGGCACATGACTACAATCCCAGCACTTGGGTGGCTGAGGCAAGAGGATCGCTGAGAGTTCAAGACCAGCCTGGGCTACAAAATGAGCTCAAGGCCAGCCTGAACTGCATAGTGAGACCCTGTCTCAAAAAAAAAAAAAAAAAAAAGAACCACAGAAAAACAAAATAAACAATTTAAGATTATAAATTCTGAATATCTGATCTTTTTGTAGTTTTAACCTGTTACTTTGCTATATTGCCATCTTGGTGCAGGTAGTTTGGCCACTTTAATCTGTTACCCCAGGAAATTGCTGTCCTACAAGTATTTAACTGTACTGGTTTTTTTTGTTTGTTTGTTTGGTTTTTTTTTTTGTGTGTGTGTGTGTGTGTGTGTGTGGTTTATATTGCTTTTCATTTCATTTGTTTTGTTTTTAGTGTTTGTGGGACTGAGGATAGAACCACGGCCTCATTCATCCTCTTGCACTCGAATGCTCTGCTACAGAGCTACATTTCACCCCTTTAATTTGGGTTTAGTAGTTTTGGGTGCATTTAGCGTAGCTACAGATACCCTGGAGTGGCAAATAAAAAAGAGTACTCCTCTCTGGAATCACATTGTTATTGGAGCTATTACCCTCTGCTTGCTATTTATTTATTTATTTATTTATTCATTGGCAGAACCAGGGATTGAACTCAGGCCCTTGCGCTTGCCAGGGAAGTGCTTATTCTACTGAGGCATCTCCCTGGCCCCATCCTCTGCTTTCTCAAACAACTTTAGATCATTTTTTAAAAAGTTACTTCATCTTATTCAGATCTTAACCTGATAAATACCGGATCCTTACCTACATTTGGCATACATACATTTAGTATAATTCATTAACTATAAATTTATTTGTTCTCTTTGATTAATGACATTGGGATAGTCTTTGGTTCAAAGAAAAAAAATCTTAAAGTTTTTGGAGATGGATTGGGGGGCTGAGGCAGGAGGATTGTGAGGGTTTTTTTTTTTTTTTTTTTTTTGAAGGGTCTACAGGGTGGTCAGGGTCTCAACAGGAGATCAGACTGCTAGTGATCTGCCTGTTAACAGCCTCCCAAGAGCTGGGATTACAGGCATGCACCACCATGTGTGGGGATGAGATCCCCGGCCCCTGCACCTGCTTGCAGGCACTTTAATCTGCTGAGCTATTTGGCAAGCCCTTGAGTTTGTGGAGATGTAGACATGCTGTAATTGTTTTGCTTTCATTTTTCCTCTTTTACTAATACTAAAGTGTGTGCATTCCTTCCATTTTTAATTTTTTCTCTTTTGTATTTTCCAACTACCTGAGTTTTACTTTTCTTTGACTATTTTTCTTTCTCTTTGGTTCTTCTCAATGTTCATTCCTTTTTTGTGGCTTTCCATTACTGTGTAAATATAGTTTCTTTTCTGTTTGGTGCCCTTTATATGCCACATAAAACTGTACAAACCATACTTCTATGAGAATTATTTTCATATATAGGAATTTTAATCTCTTTGCTTTTTGGTCTACCTGGCATTATTTCTTCCTCATGTCTCCTTTCCTCAACAAAATTTGCTTAATCTACATTTGAGAGACAGGATAGCATAGTATTAGAAGCACAAATTCTGAAGCATACTACTAAGGTTCAAATATCCACCCTGTTGCTTACTAGTTGTCTGTTACCTTACTTGTTGCTGTGACAAAATACCTAATACCCCAAGTTAAGGGGCAGAAGGTTTATTTAGCTCAGTTTATGGAGAGGTCAATTTATAATCGACCAGCTCTACGACAGCGTGGGTTGCTATTTCTTTTTTTTTTTTTTGGAACCGGGGATTGAACTCAGGCCCTTGTGCTTGCCAGGCAAGCACTTACTCTACTGAGCTATCTCCCTGGGCCCCTGTCATTTATGATAGTGGTGTAATTTAAGATATATGGCAGAGGGGAATCACAGGCTGTTTAGTTCATGGCAAGCACTAAAGAGCAAAAGCAAGCAAAGGAGAAGATCAGTCTCTTTCTGTTCCTTGTATTGTATCCAGTTACCAGGGTCAGAGGGCAGTGCCAAGCCAATCGGTGAACTGATAATAGTTGTTACCACCCTTAGTCTAAGCATCATACACTCTAGATTCAGCCACCTCTGGAAAATCCCCACCTATGACCAAATGAAACTTTGGGGGCTATCTAGACCCGTAGCATAGAGACTTTTTTTGTGCTTTATTTTCCTCACTGGTAAAATAAAGATACTAAATGGTATGTATCCCTACAATTACATGAAAATTAAGTTATGTAATATGTGGAAAGTGCTTAGACTTGGCACACACCAAGTACTATGTTAACTTAGCTAAGGATTATTAGTGCCTTAATAAAAAGTTATTCAAAGCCATTACTTTTTTTTTAAAATCAGTCTGATTTGTTTTTAATTAAGTATTATGGTCACATACAAATTTGTGCTCATGTTGTACCTTCCTCACTTTATTCCTTCTCATGAGCTGACAGGAAGCACCACTACCAATCACACATACAACAGTAAAAGTTTTAGTCTTGTGTTTTTGAATAGCTGTTTAAATACTACCATGAACAGTAACTCAGTCTGATCTAAAGATATCAAAAGTTGAACTTGCTGTTATATCATGCTAACTCTTAAAAAGATCTGAATTTACAGAACTATAAAATGTGAGAAATGTTAAATATTCTTTGTTTGGTATTATACATACACCACACTAAAATTCCTTTCAATAAGTAAAAGCTAGCACTTTTTAGATATAGGACATTCTAATTAAATTGGCATAGTCAAGACTAAAAATATAGACATAGCTTTCTTGTCTTCAACCACTCCCTTTAACAGGCTAATAAACACAAACTGAAACAGTGGAGTCTTGGTTTTGAAACAATGAAAGGAGTCTCTTAGTATTTAAATATATTCACATAACAGTTATATAAATCTAAATATAAAACCAACCTTCAGTAGTTTTGAGATATTCTCAATCTTTCTGAAAAGTTGAACATTACTAATCAAGTCCAACCAAGTATTTAGAAGGGAAAACAGTGATAGTATTTACTGAACTGGAATTACTGTCAAACCTTGAAAAAAAAAATGATATACATTTAACTACAAGCCAATTTTATTTAAATCAGGACTGTCCAACAAAAATATTCTATCAGCCACTCATGATCTGAATTCTGGTGTATGAGATTAAATTATGGTACACATACAAAAGCCATGAGACATTTCTGTTCTGTAATAAATAAGGCAGTGACTATTACTCATTAGTAGCCTTTTTGAGGTAAGCTATTAAGTCTGCCCTTTCTCCCTTCTTCTTGATGCCAGCAAAGATCATTTTTGTTCCCGGGATGTACTTCTTGGGATTCTCCAAATACTCCATCAGTGTATCCTCTCCCCAGGTGATACCTTTGTTCTTGTTGGTATCTGTGTAAGAGAAGCCAGTGGCCTGACCTGTCTTCCGCCCAAAGAGACCCTGGAGATTTGGCCCATTCTTGTGCTTGCCTCCCTTCTCAACAGTGTGGCACTGGGCACACTTCTGTACAAAAATTTTCTTGCCTTTCTCAACATCACCCATTTCGCGCCAGGTGGTCACCGGTCTTCCCTCGTTACCACAAGGAAAGTTCTAGGGCAGAAGCCTGACATCCTGCTCTCTACCCCATTACTTATTTTTGATCAGTTTATTGAAATGTAACTTTAAAGATGTCACTTATTGCCACTGCAAATTCACCACTTCTTTGTGGATCTTCAGTTCCTCCTAACCATCCTTCTGTTTTATTTTTTCTTCACATTTTTCCTGTTTCATTTGCCTCAAAATTTTACTCCATCTACCCCACCTGTTAAAAACTACAGCTGTGCCTTCCCTTTCCTCCTTTTTTCCATCAGTGGGCAAAGACTAATCCATTCACTCATTCTCTGAATCTCATTTATCTCTGCCTATTCAGGGTTTTTGTTTTTTTGGGGTTTTTTGGTGGTACCAGGGATCATACTCAGGACCTTGCACTTGCCAGGCAAGCACTTTTTCCACTGAGCTATCTCCCTGGCCTCAAGGTTCTTTTAACATCTTTTATCACTTATATTATCATTTATGACTTAGTTTTCTCATTGCTAAAATGAAATTTGCAATACCCAATGTTAAAGGGGGAAAAGTTTCTTTAGCTCACAGTTTGTGGACGTTTCAGCACATAATTGGGTGGCTCTACACCAAGGTGCACATGGCAGAAGGGCAGCAGTACGCTGCAGTGGAAGATGGCAAAAGCAACAAGCAAGAGAAGCAGGAGAGCAGGCCTCTTTGCCTCCCTTACAGTGTATGCAAGGATACCTGCCCAGGGCAGGTGTAAAATTCACACCTTTAATCTCACTATTAGACCATGAAATAGCGCCACCTCTGAAAAGTCTGTCCCTCATGACTGCATGAAGCTTTGGGGGGACAGCCAGACACAAACCATAATAACTTTTTTTTATTATTATTATTTTTATATTTTTGCCAGGCCATGTCAGGTCTGTTTATTTATTTTTTTATTTTATTTTTTCCAAAATTTTATTGATAAACAGCAATGAGACAGTTTCAAATCAAATCGGAAGTACAGTTTCAACAAATAACACACTGCATATGTTCTTCTTAGTGGTTAATTGCTGTACAAGATGCGGACTTGAGATCCTGTTTACAAACAACATTAGAACGAGTCATTCTATTCATTAAGAGAATGCAACTATATATCTATCCTAACCACTTGGAATACACAGATACAAAATGGACATTCATCTGTATACCCTATTTTTTCTAAGTTCCGTTATTGAATATTACAGGTGTGTAAACTCAGCAAAATATTCTAAAAGAGTCCAGTAGACCATAATAGCATTGGGTCTTCTGTTTGACCAGCAATGTCAGAAATTATTGACCTGAGTCCCCCACAGCTCAACATAACAGCATGACTTTACTTCCTATATTTCGTCTTCATACTTTTCTGCTGGATGGATAAGACCAAGGTAAAGCAGGACCTGTGCAATAAGAGTTGTAGCTTTTTGACAAACCATAATAACTTTTATCTTTAACATTTCTCTGGCCTCTGATCTTTTCCAATAATAATCGAAACATTCTTTATATATTTACTATTATTCTAAATAATAGTAAATATATAAAGAATGTTTCGATTATTATTGGAAAAGATATATAATTATTCTAAATATATTTATATATTTACATTCTTTATATATAAAATACATATGTACTGTTGGAGAGAGGTGAAAGCCGTGTTCTAGTTTCTCCATTCCATAAAAATGTCAGTCTTCTCTCTAGAACTGTTAAAATAACCCCCAGTCCTTTCTTGAACTCTTTGTTTCCCTACAACTTAGCCCCTTGCTCTATCTTTAGACCCAAACTACTTCAGGTTGAATTGTGTGCTCTATTTTCACCCTTTCGTTTCTGTGTATTCTTTGTCTGTTGCAGTCTTCTAACTCTACTGCTATTCTTTGTGTGCTCTTGTAAGGTCATTAATGACTCTTTTGTGACTATATCAAATAGACATTGCTTTATACTTTTGACCTATCATTTGACAGTCATTCCTTGAAATGCCCTACACCTTTTATTCCTAAAATGTCCCACCATCCTGGTTATTCTTTATATCTTTCCCACATTTTCCTACGTCTATTTTTTTTTTTTTTTTTTTTTTTTTTTTTTTACTGTTTTCCTCTTTTAATCTGCCTAGCTAAAGGCAAGGCTTTTATCCATTTTGCTTTTTTTCCTTCCAGAAAACCAATTTTAACTTTTATTTTTCTGTGATTTGAGTGTTGTTTTTTTGTTTTTTTTTTTTTTTTAATTTTTATCTGTTCTCCCCACCCATGTACTTATTTTAGGTTTATTTTGGTCTGTTTCCAGCTTCACCTCATTTTTTAAGATTTGAGGCAGGGTCTCAGAATAGACCACGTTGGGCACAAATTTTCAGTGCTGCCTCAGCCTCCCAGAGCACTGGGAGTATAGGTGTGTGCCAGCACACCTACCTTTCTTCTAGCTTCAGAAAGGTAAAATTTAGACCACTGATTTTTTAAAATTGTGAAATAATGTAAAATTTGGTGGTTTTAAGTATAGTCATATTTTTGTACAAGTATCATTACCACCTATCCTCAGAACTTTCGTTATTTACAGTTATAGCTGCCTCCATTAAACACTAACTGCTCATTCTATTCTACCTATGTTCCCTTGTAACTCCTGAAAACAATAGCCACTTCAGCAGTTAAATATATAGTCCTCAGCAATCAAAAGGAACAAGAAATGGGGGGGGGGGGTCCCATGTTGGTCACAACATGGGTAAATCTTAAAATAATTATATCAAGTGGAAAAAGTCATATTGTATCATTTTGTTTATAATTCTAGAAAATTCAGTTAAGCCAAAATGAAAAGCAAATTGATGATTCATAAGGAGAAGCAAAGGGAGACATTACCAAAAATATCACAAAAAGCTTATAGGGAATCACAGAAATGCTCCTTATTTTGATTGTGGTGATGAAGTATATGTCATATCTCATCAGATCGTCCACTTTGAATGTGAACACGTGGGCTCTTTCAGCAGCACATACACAAATATGAACATGCACCTCAGTTTTACTCAGTGAAGCAGTTACAAAATGATTTCTTAAACTTTTTTAAAAAATTTATGCTAAAAACACAGATACAGTTAATTTCTTGTAAATTTTAGGATTACTCTTAGAAAGACAGGACATACAGTGTGGAAACCTAAATTAGTGATCAAATACTGGATCACGGAGCTGCTACAGGAGGGAAGTGCACCGTAGCCTAATGATAAAATGAGGACAAAGGTTAGTTCAGAAGGTCTGGGTGTGTCTTTATGGGAGGCCTTACTTTTTCTGATTTTTACTTTATCTTTTTTTTATTTTTACTTTTACTAATCTATTTCATAAGATTTTTAAAGTCCAAGAAAATTATATTTGAAAACATTAAGTCTGAAAGTGACAAAAATGGAAGGAATTGCTGATATTTAGGATGGAAAGAACAAAATATAGTAGAATTTAATTTGTTAAGAGCAATTAAAAAAAAAAACAACAACAACAACAAATAGGAGCTGGTCGTGGTGGTGCACACCTGCATTCCCAGCACTCAGCAGGCTGAGGCAAGAGGATTGCTGATAATTTGAGGCCAGCTTGGCCTACATAGTGATTTCAAGACTGGCCTAAACTACATGGTGAGAACTCTGTCTCCAAAAATAGATAAATAAGGAATTCCAAAAAGTGGGCTTAACTTGTGAGGCTCGTCTATGTTAGGTTACGAACCCACGCAGTGGAACAGACCATGCATTCTGATGCAAGTAGATTTATTGGGGGCATCAAGCAGGCTGACTGTCTAGTGGACCAAGACAGCAGCAAACAAAGGGGGAAGAGGAGACTTTATAGGATCTTTTAGGGAGGGTGATCACTGGCTGGAACAGCTAAATTAGTATTATATCAAATACTGGATCACGGAGCTACTACAGGAGGGAAGTGCAATGTAGCCTAATGATAAAATGAGGACAAAGGTTAGTTCAGAAGGTCTGGGTGTGGAGAGCTAATCTTGGCAAGGGTACCTGGTCTGTGGGGGACCTTTAATGTTAACAAAGGAGAGTTTCTGTGGCTGCTTGCCCAGGTCAAAGTGAGGTGGACGTGGTCTGCAGTTTGGGGGGAGGATGCCTGGGAAAAAAGAGGGGGAGAGTATTTGGGGTGAGGTGCGTGGGAAACTGAATCCTGACCTATCACTCTGAAGGTTCTTTATTTTTTTTTTTATTTTTTTAAGTACACTACTAAAAAGTAATACACTAGTAGTTTTGTATTTTAATCTCACTACACAGATTGGGCTCCTAGTGATCCTCCTGTTTTCAGCCTCGGAATCCCTGGGAATTACAGGCATATGCCACCATACCCAGTCTCAGTTGCTATCGTAGTGTGCCCTGGGGGGCCAGCACAGCAGGCCAGGGATTGAACTTCCACCCCTGCATCTCCCTCAGCAGGTGCTTTAATCTGCTATTTGGCCAGCACTTTTTTTGGGGGGGTGGGCAGTGCAGTACTGGGGATTGAACTCAGGACCTCGTGCTTGCCTTATTCTACTAGGCTATCTCTCCAGTCCTTGCTTTTGTTTTCTTTATGGAGACAGTCTCAATTTGTAGTTTAGGGTGGCCTAGAACTCACTATGTAGCCCAAGCTGGCCTTGAACTCAAATGATCCTCTGGATCAACCTTCTGAGTGTTGGATTACAGATGTGTGCCTCCACACCCAGGTCCTTCATGATTATCTTACATGACAAATGACAGAAGAAACCCCTTGAGCTGCTTTTTTTTTTTTTTTTTTTTTTTTTTCCATTTGAGACAAGGTCTTACTATGTAGTACAGGCTGGCCTTGAATTCCCTTATGTAGCCCTTACTGGCCCAAGCTCATGGGAATCCTCCTGCCTCAGCCTCTTGGAGTGCTGAGATGATGAGCATGCACTACCACACCCAGCTGAAGCACTTTCAATGCCATGTTCTCGTGTTATTCTTGGTGGTTGGTGTAGTCTGAGGACCCCACCCGCCATCCCACACACACCCATAGAAAAG